GCGTGATGGCGTGAACAGCATAATTCTTACAACTTTAGGTAAAAAATAGGTGCATTTAAATGTGATACCATAAGTTATGTACTAGTCAGGCATAGCTATTTTAGACTTTGGGTTATCGCTGTGCTCAAAGGCGATATAGTACTGCTTTTACATCTATAGTTCGGGAGAACCCTGGCGTGGCTTAAGCGTAATATTTCCAACTGGTTTCTACCATTGGTAGTGCCCCCAGCAATGAAAAGACTTGCCTTGATCGAGGAGGAAATACCATTTGATAAGGAAACCGCACAAGAATCCAAAAATGAACCGACTCTGACTCATTAGAGTCAAATTCGTCAAAAGATCAGAAATATCAAATTTTTTAACAGGTAACAGAACAGAAACAAGATGTTACAGAAATGCCGTAGTACTTTCAAAATCCTATACTTTGCATTTATAAAAGACCCTTTGTATTACGTTAGTATGTGTTCCTTCAGCGTCCACTTGTGCATGCAATGCAGAATGTAGTGCGGATGACAGCATATGAGAGAATAGAAGGTGAATTTATTAAGAAGACGCCAAAGACTAAGCGACTAGCACTAAACGCATTAGAATTCATTTTGTTACTGTTGTGCTAAGCCTGTATTTTTCTGTAATTTTCCAAATGTCATATTAATCTTTCCTTCTTTCTTATCTTAATAGTTCAAGTTTAATTCCTCCTATAGCCTACTCACAGCATGATAACTAGACCAACTAAACATTCTTGGGAACTCTGATGAAAAAATGCACAACCTGGGGCACCTAATAAGTCGCATTGCCAGTATACTTTTTAGCCCCGCACTTTATCACTCATCCTAGTTGACGTTTGTTACCATATCATACGCTCTACTCTTCTTTTTATAGAAATTTCACAACGAGTATCACTTTAAAAATTAACTCGTTAACCTTTATATATTCCATAGCTTTCAGCGGTAGCATTCACCTTCTAAGGAGAACCTAGCATAAAAAAAGAAAAACGTTTTCATCTTTCTTGTAAAGGTCTATGGCTTTGAAAAGTATTGAAGCTTACTCTTTCGGTACAGAAATCTCCAGCATAACCTTCTGGGCAGTTACAAACATCGCAGTTTCTTGGATTAGGCTCACCTCCATTGTAGCATCTCGGTCCTCTACATCCACATATCTCTAAAACACGATATTGTTGCCTAGCGAGTTCATTCAGATGACTTACCAGTGCATTTGTAATGATCATTGATTGTCTTGACGTCATAGAAGGAAACTGAAAGTGATCCCATAGTGACTATGTAGTTAAAGTCGTAGGGTATCATGGGGAGTTCACTTGCACCAGACGCCATAAACCTTAATTTAGCTGTCAATATAATATTTATTACGATGTAGTGATCAGATCTTTCACCCAATTAATACCATATTTCAGGAAGCAACAATTTACTCACGCATCAGCAGGATAATGCATGCTACTGCCATACTCATAAGGATTATAGTTCGTGGATTCGCATGCAGGGAGCTTGGCAAAGTTGTACAATTGCTCTGGCTGTAAATTTCTGGCTATATGAATACCTATATAACCTATCCAACTTGAAACCATAATATTGCATTATAAGAAATTTCCTTACAGCAATGGAAGCTGCGTTGATGTAGACGTAATCGTCACGATCACTTCGTGACTGGGTATGA